GCTATTCAAAGGTGCAGAGGTGTCATTCTTCATCACCGTATCATCAATGTGATTAAAAAAAATCATTCAATAATTTCACGTTATTGCTGACAGTCCTAAAAATACCAAATATGTTAATTTAATATTTTGTTCAATAAAAGTGCACCAGGTTAAATATCAACTTTTGGTGTTAAAATTGCAATATTTAATTCCAATAAAAGCAATCTTCATTAGGTGTCTTTAAAAACAATTATTTTGATTAATCTCTCATTTCAAGCACAACATTTTTTTGATTTTTTTTAAATAAGAAAAGAGAAAAAAAATATGATTGAGCGACGTTCTGTCATTGCCAGTTATCTGACAAACAGCTGATATCTACCTAAGCTCTAAGGAGCCGTCTAAGCAGGAGCTACTTTTTAATTGATTGGTCAAACAGTTATTCCCTTATCAGTGGATGATAAATCTCATTCTTTAACTTTCACAATGCAGTATTGTTTCCTCTTGGCCAAAAGCAGAATTTCAATTCCCAAAGTATTTCTCAGCTTGAGGAGAGGGTAAGAGAAAGTTATTGTCTAAATGTTAGCATGTTTAGGCTGGTGGACAAAGGCTCCGTTTCATGGTAATAATTAGCTCCCCTGCGTTGTGTTAGAGGAGAGTGCTGTTAACTTGAAAACAACTGAATAACCTATTAGTGCAAAACTTGAGGGTTTTCAGAGGGCTCTCTGCACAGACTACAGAAGTAAGAAAATCACTTCATTGCTGCATAACTTCTTCAAAGTGGAGACAATGCAAGGGTCTGTCTCACAGGGGGATAAAGACATGGAGGCATTAGAGACAGTGAGTGTTCCTGTTATAAAACTGATTCTCCATATTCTACACATGTCTCTGCATATGAATGTGGAATCTGTAAGTAAGTGTTATTTCCAGTAATATTGACCATGACTGAGACTGTACGCAGAAGTGACAGAATGCATCGGCTGTTACTCAGTTCCTGAAGACATCAGACATCATATAACATTGATTTAGTATTATATGGATTTGTACAATAAGCAGACATGGATACTAAAACCGTGGTATAAATCCTCCTAACTAGAAGTTCTTCCGAATGCAACACGCTTTTGTATAAAACTTCAGCACCATGGACAGTGACGATACATTTAAAGAAAAGTCTGAAGCAGAGGAGATTCATGCCTTATCAATCATACAGGAAAAGAAACAATGCAGTAATGTAGTAGTACATTTACAGATATTAATGCATGCTAAAATGACGCCAGGATCACACTTTAAGAGTGTTTTCCCCTACTTTAGCACTCTCTGAGTTCCAAAATGATACCATGTGCTCATTGGTCTCATTTTCCTGTATGTGTACTGTAAACTTCAGGTAATGAAAATAAATGTCTTCACATGTTCTGTTGTGATGCTGTCCCTGTAACATATGATGTGGGAAGATGAAATCCGGCTGTTTGACAATCTCTGCTTTGCCTCCAGCATCTCTATCTTCCCTTCACAGAAAACATACTTTGATTTTTTTTTACATAAATGATTGGAATATTATTTTTTATTATTATTATTATACTCACTCCCCACACACATTCAACACTGCACTGACCCTTCTACATTCAAATCACTGATCAAAACTCAACAAGCTTTTAGTGTGTGATTGTGATGTGTGTTGTTTTCTGTAGCTGTACCTTGCTGTTGTTGTCGTTACAATTTGTGGGTCATGTTGCTATGTCTGTAAGTCTGTCCTTACTGTGCTGTTCCTTCTGTCTTTTTAACAAATGTACAGTGTCTTTGAGTAAAGCACGTCTAAATAAAATGTATTATTATTATTCTATATTCTTCATATTCAATTACCACACAATGGCTACTACCTGTATCTGTGCTACAACTTATTTCACACTGTAATAGTCTCCTTATTGCTTTTTAAATTAGCAGTATCACAAGTTACAATTTATAACATAATTGTTTGAATTTCCCTCAGGCTCAATAAAGTATCTATCTATCTATCTATCTATCTATCTATAAATAAATGTAAGTGAAGCCTCACACTCCACAGGTATCCAGTAACAAGTATCAAGCTCACAGCAGTAAACGTCATTTCACTGGAAGTTCTTCTTTGTTAATTTTATGGTCTCCATCCTGTCAAGAAAAGTTTAATGATTTTGTATATTATTCGTTTAAATTCCTTCATCTTCAAAGTTAATCGCTAATTTGTTGTACATGACACATACAGTGACTGAAATAAAGTCACACAAGAAGCAACATCTGTCGTGGCATATAATCAAGATGACTTTGTTGTTGTTTGTATATCAATTTTTACACCTGCTTAAAAAATCCTATTAACATTATACGTACTGTATATCTCTGGTAAATGTTGGAAAAAAAATAAATGTTCATTCAGACAACATGAGTTTCAAATCTTGGAGTCATTGGAGGTGATGTAATTATTACATTTAATGAGATTTTTAATAATTCTGGATTTTTATCAATACCAGATTTTACTTTCATTCTCCGGTTTATGTTCTATGCTCATGCATCCATCCAGATATCTATTTTTAACTTTATATCCTGAACTCTCCCATGAACTGCCTCTAAAGCTTGTTTCGTATCGGTTCTAGCTCTAACAAGTCATCCTTCTGTCCTGTGTTTCCAACCTCACACATGCTGCTGCTGCGGCTGACTGGTTGTTTCACTTTCTCCCTTTTCTCCCTCCACTGCTCCAGCTCTCCCCCTTTCAGCCACTGATGGAATCTCTTCACTTGTGTGATACATATATTCAATTTCTCAATGATACGATTTGCTGGTCACGAGTTTCTGACCAAATTGGTAACCATGGCAACATGTTGGTAAAAGAGCAAGTCCAGGGAATTCTTAAATCTGGATGATATGCTTCTCGGGGTGTAGATACCAAATACTGTATATCTTAGCAGGGTGCTAATGCTTGGTAGTGAATCATTTGTAATAATGGACGTGTGGGTGACAAAGATCCTGACAATGAAAAGTTTCTATCTAAAGAACTAATACAGCAAAATATTAGTAACCAAGACTTGTTGCATTTGGACTTGTGATAATAATCCTGTTTGAAGGCAGGGTTGGTAATTTTCTCCGGATAAACTTTTTAAGGTTTTGGTTGAAATTGTCTTTAGGTCCTGACCGAAATTAATAACTCATGTGCTCTGAAAAAGGAACAAAGAAAATCTGTCATATGTATCAGTTGTAAGCCTGGACAAAACTTTGACTAATGTCTGCCACGAGGTACCAATCTGATGAACCGATTATGTCTCCCTGCTCGTTCTCTACCCCCTTGCGTGCACTAGCCCACACTCACAGCGCAACACCGATGACAGAGTTTATACTGAGTTTATTGTTGGCCATTGTGAGTAGTGAAATAATCACAAATAGTTACTTACTGCTGAATGAGACATGAGACGACGTAGTTTCTACACAATGCAAGCAATGAGCTGAGGTCCACTTCTGGAGGAACGGCGCTCGTGCTCATGTAATCGAGGGGTGTGGCTTTTGAGGGAGCACAAGGAGGGGGTGGGTGCAGACACAGCACTGAGGGAATGCTACTTTCAAAATCAGCCTAGTTTTTTCGAAAATGACCAACCCTGCCTTTAATCCCACGTGCACATCACACAATCTTATTGACCTTAAAATAGTTTGCTATCAGTTCCTGAGTCAGAATGGATTATTTTACAATTATTGAAACATCAGATGTAAGGTTCTCAAACATACAGTCATTTCTAATCACATTTTTGATATCACAACTAAGATGGTGAAGATGTATAAATGTCCAACTTTTACAACTATTCTTAAAAAAAAAGTTTTAATAATAACTAGTGGAAGAGGTTTATGTCAAAGCTCACATGAGGAACTTGCAGTTTGGGGCGATTTCGGTGCCCCCCTGTTGACATAGATTTAATCTCTGTGCTGAACTTGTCCTGTTCATGTGCAATTGTTGTTTTCCAAATGAGGAATCCCATCCTGTTGTCTTTTAACAGTCACATGTGAATCTTTTCTGTGGAAAATATATTTTAAAAAAGGCTGATTCTGTAGCCGACTGTAGCTCCCTTTGTCTGACAGCTACCCCGCGCAGTAGTGACAAACATTAAAAACAAAATTATAAATCTTGTTGCTGATGGTAGTCTGCTTTTGCAGGTCATATAGACTCATCAGTTTAATGTCAGTGTGTGTCATAACCAACTGAAACTGAACTTCTCGCAGTAGCTCAAGTAAATATGTGTTTTGTGTTCGTTAATTCATCCATCCCAAACCTAGATTTTCCCAACAGCATTTCTTAAAAAAAGGTACAGTACATTGTTGACAAAAAAGGCAGTAGAATAAGGCTTTAACAAACAAACTCACCTGAAAAATAAATATTTATGTTGTAGGTTGATCTGGTGCTCTGTAAGGAAACAACACTTGCACACAAAGAGGCTTAAAGGTCCAATATGTTAGATATCTATTGACATTAAGCAAACATGCTATGTTGAAGTGCTGGCATCTCTGTCAACAACGCAGCAGCCAGTATGTCTTCATCCTAAGTTTGGTCTGTTTTTGTTTTGACCAGAGAAGGTAAGCAGTTTTCAGGCACCCCAATACAGCCTTTTTGAACGCCCATCGGTTAGCCAGATATGAGAGCAGTTATAACGGAAAACCAACAGGTGTTGCAGCGATTGAGGGGGGCAAGCTAATTTGTTCAGATAATAAAGTTAGACCGCAAAAAGATTTCAAGACCTCGGCAGGGCTGGTAAAACATTGAGGCTTCAGTGTCTACATGCACATCAACTGCAGGGAGGAGGGGGGGCAGCTCTCTTCACTGCTGTGCTCATTATTACATATTGAGTTACATATTGCGCCTTTAAGCCAGGCAATCCAGATGTAAGCACAGGTCCAGATCATAATGCTGACTCTGTGTTTGTGACTGATTGTTATTCAACCAAACATCAAGCTGGAGACGAGTAGACAAGGAATCAGGATGGCATCTTAAAAACACATTGGGACAAAGGAGAAAATTATTGTATCAAAAACTTTATTCTCAAATAATGTTTTCAAAATATCTAATAGATAGACAGTGAGTCTCTTTGACAGCAGGTTGTGAAGCTGTTTTCACGTACAGTATCAGTTGTCCGACACTTGACAACACCTCATGGTGTTCCACTTCCATGATGTCTTCGGACAGAAAAATGTCTTTTTCCATCCCTTAAATTCAAAAAGGTACCAGTCATGTTTTCCCAGTCAACATATTAGCTCCAAAATACTGTTGCCAATTTGCAAATGCTGCTACTAGAGCCTAAATTTACCACAATGTCATTTTCCACTCTAAACTCATAACGTCTGAAGGAGGAGTCTGCTCCTCCTCCTTCAGACGTACACCAGCTCAGATTTTGGGCCTTAAAGGGGTCAAGTCATTTCAAATCGTTTGTGCCTGTGGAAGTCATCCCTCTCCCAGACACAGACTTTAGGGTTAGCCACACACGGCTGCTGTTACACAAGAACACCGTCTTTAAAAAGGACGTGTCAGTCTCAACTCACCTGTGAGTGCTGTTGATGACATTAAGACACTAAACATCTGGTTTGTAAAGTATGAGTTTATCCTTAACCTTAAGGATGCTTTCATGTGAGATATCAACAAACGCAGGCACCTCCTATGGCACAGCTGCTGCATTAAAGTCAAAGTGATTCAATGCATCGTACGTTATAAATAATATGTATTGGCACTGCATCTTCAAGCCCAAAGGTGTAGAAGAGTTGGAGCTGACAGAGTGTTTTAAAGACTGAAGTGTTTTAGATATTGAACAGCTGTGAGCCAGAAATAATGTCTCCACACATTATCTCGGGGTCAAAGCAGTTTTCTTGTTCCGGTGTAAAAGCAGCCGTAATGGACAAAAGAGATTATATGACATTTGATATTAAATACTCAGTTTGAACCATCGATTTTTACATGGTGTGTAACAGTGAAAACATAACTTTCATGAACAAGATTTTGTAGTACCTACATCATTTATCATAAAAAGTACAGCATGTTTAATAATTTGTTTTTGTTTTTTACAAATTCTCCATAAAAAATAGATTTCTGTACAAAACTTTTTTTTTGTTCTTTTGCACCTACTTCAAGTTCAGCAGCACATGATGATGGCGAGGGGTGACAGCGTTGATGATGAATGATTATGATGTTTGAAAAAACAAAACAACATGGTGACGATTGGCGACTTCCTGGTTACGGTGTTGCCATTGTCCAAAATCATTCTGTGGCATTAAGCACAACAAAAATGAAATCATCAGTACACATTTATAAGTAACAAACTTAGATACTGCATGTCAATATGTGTTGCTGAGAAAGCATCCTCTTACCCCGATGTGTGAATGTAGCATTTGTTCGTTTGCTGTTCCAAGCTTAAAGCGCCATGTGCAAAACTGACGATTATTCATCCTTTGCTCTGATCAGTTAGACAGAGCTGCAGTCAGCTCACGTTCAATTCAGACCAACCAGGCTGCAGGTTTTCTTTAAAGCTGTAATGCTGATAGTATGGCATGAAAAGTTTGTCCTATCCAAACTATTAGGAAAATGGAGAACCAAACTTCTGTCGAGGGCAAAAGACAATTTAAACAGAATATTTCAAATATTTCAAATCCTTCAAATCGATATAGACACACATTTACATAAGGTGTTTTCAGACTGCATGGAACTTTTTTGGACCCCCCCTCCCTCCCCCTCCCGTCCTTCCCTTTTGTATTGATTCTGAACCACAGGAACTGTTTTAGTTACTAGAACCCCGTTTAGAGGAACCTTTGTAGCTCCTGCTTCAGAGTAGGTACCATGGCGGTGCGAATGCAGAGAAAAGTCCCCATGGTGTGTAGTTCTCAGGGAACTCCCTAGTGGATAGTTCCTCTTCAAAGAGGCCCCAGAACAGTTTGGTCCTATAGATTTGATGAGTCTACTCCAGCACTGATAAAGAGCCATGTATAAGTGAATCCCGTATGAGCTCATGTGTGACACAGTGGATTTTAGTGCAGGCCTCCTACAGGAAAAGGTTTAGCAGCCGGTGTTTGCAATGATGTTTAAATATATCTGAGAGCTCACCCAGGCAGAATTTGGAAATATTTTAAATCTGGTCTGAATCTCTGCTGTATTTAATACTTAATTAAAAAAAAAAAGCTCATTACTGCTATGAGACACTTTGAAAAGAAAGTTTGACATTTACGGTTTTAGCTGCTCTTTTTTTACATCTTGCAGACGCCTCCATTTGTTTCAATAAAATCTGCTGATTATACCACTTTAAAGAAGCTAAGGGACACATGTGGAAACTTCTTTGCAAACTGAAAAAGTCTCAGTTGAGGAAGCAGAAACAACCTTGGCATTTTAAAATGTACCAGTCAGTCTCTCGTAGCCAGCTGTCGCTCTTTTAAAAAGTTAGGACTGCTGACAATACCAAATGAAGGACAAACATGGAAACTTCTACTTTAACTATTTAAAAAAAGAAAGTCTTGTGGGTAGAACAAAAATACTCAGATTGTCAAGGTAGAGGGAAATGTGTCTTGTGCAGAAAAAAATAATCTCATTTTTAAAAACAGACATTTGTTTCATGAAGCCCTTCTCAGGAGACAGAAGTCAATGTATATTTTAATAGAATATGCTTCCCCATTGAGTTTCAGATGGTTTCCTACAAAAATGAAGAATAGCAATTCAAGACAAGTAACAAAGGAAAGGTCCTTTTGTCAATTCTAATAAGATATTAAGCAAATAGCAACACTTTCTGCCTGCATGATAATACCAACTATTGGAAGATGGTGTCTACAAAAATTATCTTTTTACGGGCCACAAAGACCTCCATTCTCTACTATTGATAAGTGTGAGAAACTACAGGGTAGATTATGAGCGCCTTTGTCCCCAATCCAATCATTCAAGTTTGATCAATTTAAATTAAAAAGTCGAGAAAATGAATGGTCAGCTATCAGCCCAACATCTGGTTCATTCTGCATGTTAACAGGACAAACTGTGGATCTGTTTTGTTAAAACAGTAACTTCATTGTTCTTACCTCATAGGGGGTTAAGACGTTAAATTAAGGTCACAATATTCAGCATTTACTCATTGGTCATTAGAATGCTAATTAGTAGCATACTGGCTGCTTATTAGTCATTATTAAGCGCTTATTAGCACCTTTGTTGTTATGACCATAATCTATAGCTTATAGGCCATTGCAAAAGCATATTAAAATCATAATGCATGTTCAACAATTCCTAACTTAATATCAATAAGCAGTAAATAGGAGATATTGAGGACAAAACTGGTTAAAGGCCCATTACATTTAGAGTATGTAGAATAAAATACTTATAAGGAGTCATTAAAGACTAATAAGCAGCCAGTACGGTACTAATTAGCATGCTAATAAGCGACTAGTTAATGGTGAATATTTTGACATAAATTTAAAGGGTTACCCATTATACTATGTGTTTTATTTAAGGTATGTTTAGATTTAATCCTGCACTCCAATAATCCAGGGCTGGCTTCCCCTTCATCCTGATTCAGCATGTTTGAAGTCTAAATGTATTTAAATCCAGGTATTAGAAGCAAGGGTAGGAAGGACTATTACAAAACAATGTAAGTATAATTACATTTTGGTGTGCACCAACTGTTGGATGTGAATCAAACCATTGTCGCAATACATTTCATCTTTACATGGCAGACAAAGTGAGGAGAATATGGGGTCAACATTGCCTTGTTTGGCTGCACAAGGAGATCAGATCTGTGTCATTAATTGTTAAAAATTAGACCTTTTATCACGCCTGTGGAAACCTCGCAGCCTCTAATTTCCAGGCTCCATTATGCTCTCTTGACTCCATAGGAAATCTCAGCTGAATTAATTAAATCAATTAAAGCAGAAGAACTGGGTGCACTCCAGTGTAGAGGGGAGGCTCACTATCTCGTGAGCAGACACTCCACTGTTGTTTACAGCTGTCTCGCTATTTCTGTGCAGAGATTTCGAATGTGTCATCTGTCTTGTTGACACTGAAAACTACATCTACATATCATTATTTCCTGGGCCTCACACTGGTGTACGTGTATGTGCCATTTGGCCATGACCTTGACACTGAGTCTGTGAATGACAGGCTAACAAATATTATAATTCGTGCCTCCCAACATAATCACTATTGTTTCAGGGCATTTCATTTGCAGGATTCAGATCTGCAGGTGACTCAATTTCAATGAAAATTGGAATAGAAACTTATCTTTTTGAATTATTTGCCAATTATTTCAGATAAGTTGGACGTGACAACCTCCTCATGCCAAGCATTTTTTTTCAGCATTTGTGATTTGGGGAAAATTCATTCTCTGATTTGAGAAATTCATGTTTTCATAGCCAAAATCATAATTTCATCATCAATAAGTTTTCATTATCTTACTTTCAGATGTGTTAATAAATGGATGTAGGGATCTATTTTTTGCAGGAATGACAGCATTATGGATTGAAAATACACAAGTGAAACATGGGGGAACATAAAAGGAAAATTCATTTGGACAATAAAAATCATGCAGGTTGCCTGAAGTGACAACCTAAAGCCAGTATGGTGTGCATGGAGTGTGAAACAAACAAGACACAGGCCTGAAGACACCCAAAGACACACACTGAAAGCAGTTACATCTGTGATCTAAACCAAGTGCAGCATCTTTTGAAAAATAAAAATATTCAGAATAGAACACTGCAAGAAAGCTTGGCAAGTGATTTGAAGCCAGTGAATTTTCTTGGATTCGGCAGACTTATGGGTGTTTGGTGGATATGTTGACCTAAAATACCAGGAAAGCTTGTGTACTTGTAGCAGTGAGGTTCCAGCATTTATAAGCAGGATGTAACTATCTCTTTGCAAACGAGGTATTTTTCAAACAATGAAGCGGCTCGGTGGGGCGATAACTCTCAACAACAATAATTGTGCATGTTGTCTTTATACTGAATCTGTTTGGCCTTTGTCTTAAGTCACCACTTCTCAAACAGATCACACGTAAACTGTGAGCTCTTTAAAGAGATGTGTCCCAATAGGATCATGTGCATCACAAATGTCAAATGTCAAATTGGAGGACAATGCATGATAATATGAGCATTTGTGGAAACTTGCAACACATCTTTTTGAAGAGTTAGAGAAACAGTCACATGTTGTTTCTGAAAGCTGACACTGTCTTATACTAGAGGTGATCAACTGGATGAATAAACTCATGTTGAGATAATTACTTTATCTTTGAGTACCGTTTTAATATCTTCAAAGAACACAAGTTTAACGGCTGTAAATAAAACAAGCAGTGTGGCACCAGTGTCAGGTAGGCCATATTGAATGTTTTAGATGTGAGCCTTCCCTTTTTATTTTTCTGTATAGTAACAGTATCCAGTATGAGTTTTCAGAAACAGCCACTGTTCTAGAAAAGACAACAAATTGGTGTCATTTTCAGACACTAAAAGCTCAGAGGTCAATAGGCAATCTCATCCCAACTTCCTCGTTGGCAAGCATGTTGTCATGGCGACAAAAATAAACAACAAAATAGCATGTGGTCACTGCTAACAGGGAGTGTGAAATATAAATGTGTATATACAAACACTCTGTAACCCTGTATTTATTCATTTTGTTGTCTCTTTAAAGATAGAAGTTTTTGAATAAAATTCTCTTTTTTGAATGACTCATTTTCAAACCCATTTCAGACCCAAAAAGTATTCATTTTTTTCATAACCCAGTCAGAAAAACACACTAGTGCAAAATTTGTGCGGTTTAAGAGTTTATATAAAGTTTATATTTCGGGGTTCCCCAGCAGCAGTGGTTTGGGAAGTCCCATGGGGCCACTGGGTTTTTGAACATTGAGTCTGTTCATCAATATCTTCACTGAAGAAAAATGTCGGAGGGACATTCAGAGACACCTAGCCTCTGTTTCCATAGCAACCTGTCCTTGTCTTTCTCTCCCAGCACGACTCACAGATTTCTATCCGTCCATTTGTCTGTGTTTGTCTGTCTAATATCTGTCAGTCAAACACTCTGTGTGTTAATCTCTTCATCTATTTCTGATTTTGTGGCTGGAGAGTATACTGTAGAAAAAATATCAGTCATCACTTGACTGATAATCCTGTCCAGAGTTACAAGAAGACACATCATTTCCTGGATTTGGCCACAGCTGATTGCAGCAGTCGAAGATCTTGACAGCTTATTGCCTCCAGGCTTCCACTTGTTCAGCCACCAAGCACAAAACGCTGGCTAGTCCAAGAACAAGAATCATTGCCCGATTCTTTGATTGTGTTAGACAGGCCTCTGGAAACCAGTCCATTGTGTACACCAGCCCAGCAACTCAAATGTCTTGTTTTCTTGTTCAGCACAGTCTGCCAGCATGGGCAAGCATGGACAGTTGTGAACAGGACCAATTTTAGGTGTGAAGTACCTCAACAGAATATTGGAAACTCTCTAAATCTCATCTAGAGCAATTCACAGGTTGTTGTACTAAACCTGGGAACAAAAGCATTTGCAAATGCTTGATTTGGTATGTTCGTGGTGAACACATTGCCAAATACTGCAGGTAGACACTGTCATAGAAAGGCAATACAGTAACAGGCAGAAAGAAAAGACAATCACAGGGACCTATTTGATAATCCAATACTGACTGAAAACTCAACTTATCCAACTCTGTGATTGTCCTGCTTCATATAATCAAACAAAATCTCCAAGC